CTCAAGGCTTGGCACATGGCCTATTCGGCAAGGTTGCCGAACCAACCCGTGACCGATCCACGATCGGTCCGTAACCCATCTCAAGTGGCCCACAGCCAGTTCATGACTGGTCCATGGCCAAGCATAGTTGGTCCGTGGCCGACTCTCGATTGTCATGTAGTTGTGTGGGATCAATCGTTTCGTGATTGACTCACAGTAGCATGGATCGATCCATAGTCGTCCGGGATCAGTATATGACCAACAAGACCGTGCGGGATCGATCCTTAATTGTCCATCGATCCGCGGTGGTACATGTCTGTCCCACGACCAACCCCTATGGTCGAGAAGAATCCATGGTTGAATAGTTTGGGTCACTTGCATGATCAATGGACTGGTTCACTGTCGATTCCTCAATCTTTCTAGGGCCGATCCTTCGATCAGGCCATGGCTGATCCCTAGGTTACCCTTTCCGATCGGGTCGATCAATCCATGACCATTCCTTGGATTGGTCCATGGCAGATTTCCCCCATTATCGACACACCAGTTCCATAGCCATTTCTCATGGCTAGAATCGTGGATGTTACATTAGCCATGCTATTTAGGTCGGGTCGATCTGTTTCATTACGATCGTTCTGACTCTTGTCATTGATAGTATTGGGCCTCGGAAGCATCGTAACCGCTTGCGATGGCATCGTTTGGCCCAAATTATCTCTAACATTGAACTGAGCGGAAGAGTTGAAGGTACATACCCTGACACTGACTGATTACCTTGAGTTTGGAGCAGTTGGCTTGGTTGTCCGACTTTGGATACAAGTTCCATCACCAAATTGGTAATCATCGCACTTATGACTCCGGCAATATGATTGACCATATGATTGGTCAAATCATTCTGTTGCTCCTCAAACATCTGCTTCTTGGTAGCCACCATGACAGGATCAGGAGATAACTGTCTCCATTGATCTTCGGTGAGGCTCCGTAAGATGTCAATCGGAACTCCACTCACGTTAACATCAACAGCAGGATTTGCATTTTACACCTATAATCGGGAAGACCTCTCATCAACTCGTTGTGGGGACGGATTATCCTTGACAACAACATTGCGAGTCTCCTGAGTTCTCATTCTTGCTGTTGACACCTAAATTTCGGCGCATCATTTAGTGGTTAATTGTATAGAAAATTAGGGATTAAATTTTAACCCATGAACAAAAATATTATAAATCGCATAGCATAAAGTTTAGGTTCATATAGATTAACTGCATTTCGCATCGGATCGGCGGTGGTAAGCGAGCTTCAAATTCATCACGTAAATCGAGCTCGGGCACCGAACGAGACTCGGCTCACTCGGAAAGCATGGGCCGAAAATCATACACAAAAGGGCTTGGTTGTCTTAATTTGAGCTTAAATTAGCCCATTATGCTTAATTAAAGAAAAGCCTAAATTAATTCAGCTCACTTAAAATTAAATTAAAGCCTAAACCTAAGCCCATTAGGACTCGTAAGCCCGGCTAATTGACCTAGGTTTACATTATAAATATATGTTTATGTCGCATAATCAAGAGGGGGGTTCTAATAATTTTTCAGATCGGATTTTTAGAAAGACATACGAGAGAATTTTGAGAAAAGTGAGAGAGAGAGAGAAGGAGACCGCCCGCCGCGCCGCACCACCGCCGCACCGCCCCACCGCCCGCCGCATCACGCCGGAGCTGCTCCGTCCCTCAGCCAATGCACGCCCGCTGCGCCACCGCCCGCCTGCGAAGCCTCCGTCCTCTCCCGCTGCGCGTTGCTGCCCTCGCCGCGTGCCACCGCTGCCCGCCGCTGCCTCCTGCGGCGTGCTGCCGTCTCCCGTCGTGTGCCACCGCCGCTGCACGCCTGCTTGCCGCTGCCTCATCGCACACCACTGCCGCGTTGGTGCCATCGCCGCTGGATGTCCCTGCTCCGCCCGCTCGTGTCGCCGCCGCCGCATTGCCACGTACCGCCAAAGAGTTGCCCCCGCACGGCCGCCGGAGAGCTGCACGCACGGCCCGCCGGAAAGCCGCCCGTCCCCGCCTGTTGGCCGCTACCCGGAGACGCCCGCCGTGCCGCCGTTCCCGTCGTGTCACCGTCGCTAGCCGCCACTGTTCCCAACGTCGCGCCGCCACTCCCGACGCACCGCCGATCCGCAATCTCGATCCGCTGCAGATTCAAATTAGGAAAGAAATTTGCAAATCAGGTAATTATCATATCCCGATTTGATTCGAATATTTGGTTGCCTAATTTGTGCTTATTGATATCTAATTTTGCATATTTGGATAATAAGCATTATTCCAATTAGGATTTTATTTCCTTTTTTTGAAATCTTGGATATCTATTACTTTTCAAATTTGGATAGAATTTAGAATTTTCAAAATCTTTTGAATATATCCAAGATATTTAAGATATCTAAATTTTTTCAAGATGTGATCGATTAGGAAAAGTTCCTAATCCGCAACCGCACACGTGGAAATAAATCTATCTATCAAGCTTTAGATAGAGTTATTTCCATAGCGGGTATTTCGAATTTTAGGATCGATCTGTCAGGCTTCAGATCGAAACTTAATTCGAAAGATTTAGCGGTTATATTTTTTTTACTGGATTTTAATTTCGAATTTTCATAAAAAAAAATGCCAAAAATATTACTTTAGTTTAAAATTGCGTGTTTAGATAATTGGCATTTTTAATTCCGAATTTCATTAAAGTAAAAAAAAATACAAAAAAATAATATGCCCGTCATTAGAAATAGGTCACGTCGTCGCATGACATATAGTTTGCATGTTAGGTTGCATTAATCGCATGTCAATTTTTTGCACGCCATTACATATAGGTTAGCTTTCATTTAAATAAATAAAAAAAATCAAAAAAGAAAATTTCTGCACCTTTGAACTCTAAGTCAGGACTTATCAAAATTGTCAAATTAAGTATTTTTCTTGAAATTGGTACCGAAAGGGCGTTAGGGAATCTAGCGTAACCAAGTCCCCGAATCCATAATTTCTGGTTCGCAGAAATAAAATAGTACTCCCGCTATTTTATTTAGGTTTCTAATCAACCTACCTTAAATGATTAGTGGCGACTCCCATTGAAAATATTTGCATGCTCATAATTGGACCTAAGTTGCGAATTGGTAGAGTTTGGGAAAACTCGAGTTAGGTTAGTTAATTTAATTGATCTAGTAATCCATTAGCCTAAGATCGGAAAACCCGGTTTTTTTAGGTCGCGACACTTGCCATCAGCACTTCCTCAAACCGGAACACAATGGTCCCACCAAGCATGCCTAAAAGATGTTTCGCCGAAGAAGTCCTTCGACAAAATATCTTTCACCGAAGTTGACCCTTCGGTTGTTTAGAGTAAATCGGGTTTTGTGTCGGTTCCGAAAGGAAGTGTTTGGTTATGACTAAGCAAAACTAAAAATAAAGTAAACAACGAGTGCAGATAAAATTAAGTAGGAATACAAAAGATAACTTGCGAAATTGAGTAGCTGTGTTTTTTATTTGATTGATTCGTTGCCGATCCCTTACATCATTCTTTCATCGGCTATTTATAGCCAAACGAAACAAAGAACCGTCGCAGCGGTTATCTTTTTGAAAAATTTCAAAAGTGTTTCCAAAGCATTCGGGATATGGCTTGGTAATTGTACCGTTATCTGCAGTGCGGTTTAATGTTTTGAACATCTGTCTTCATCCGTCGTCCTGATTTTTGAGTCAAAACTATGATTATTCTTATCTGTGAACCACCCCTGGGCCGATATACATCAACATTTCCTTTTTGGGCTTTATCGGTCCACGGCGGCCCATATAGGTCATTTTTTAGCATCAACGGTTTGTGTCTCGGAGTTACTTGATTGGAGCCAAGCATGTTCGCACTCGAGTCTTGACAATTAATTTGTCCTACATGTTCTGAATTGTTTTATGTTCCTTGAGCTTCCACGACATTAATTCCTACAGGGGACAGTGAGTCTTGTGTGTGGTGCTATGCTATCAATTTGAATATTCCGTCCAAAATCACAAATCATGTACTCGAATTAGCATCCATAAATGAGTCTCCTGCATTTTTCAAGTTCTCTGATCACCATCTTCTAGCCTTGTTCATCTAGCAATGAACCAATAGTAAGACGATATTTGGCTAGTTGCTTCCGATTTTGATTGAAGATTGCATCTTGTCGAAGGACGAAGTGACCGAAGAGGGACCAGGAGAGCCACCACGGATGGAGAGGGACCGCGTGGACGCTTTACCGGCTATAAAGTTGAAGAAGGAAGTGACCGAATATATACGTAACCTTATGTTGCTCTTACTATTTGGTACTTCATTGGTAAGCCTGCGTTTGTTGTTACGTATATATTTGGGTAATTCGATTCACTTTATCAAGCATTCATTGTATTAAGAGTTTCAGACTGTTCTTCAAGCTCTTATAGATCAACCAAACTAAGTTTCCACCTCTTCACAGGATATTGACCTGTGTTAAATTGGACTACAACTTGGGTGGCTTGTCTTGTAGACTTTCCTAAAGTAGATAAAACATTTAAAATGCTCTAATGCAAGCTGAGCAGAGCTTTAAAGGTATCAAGATTGCTCGAAGAAGATGCTCGAGAGAAGCAATGGCCTTGTCACTAGGAGTTTTAATGTGGAATGAGTGTCATGTTGAGACCACAAAGATGAAACTGCCCTTCATATTCTTTAAGTTTTCTCATTTGAATGCTAATTGGAATTCAAATGAACTGACTAGACAAGGAAAAAGAGGAAACTGCACAGTGTGTGTTGATTTGTGATTTGTGCATCTGCAAGAATGTTGGTCAAGTCGTAATATGTGTTACATATATCCTCACTCTCTTAAATAATACTGTAGTAATACAACTTGTCAACTTCCTGACCAAGCCCTTCACAAACACGAGTCCTATTGAAAACAGGGAAAGAAATATACAGAGGAAATAGACATGCATTAAACATTCATAATACTTAGCAAAATCCAGCTTACTTAATTTTATTTCATTTTTGGTTTGGGGACATTCAACATCAGTTCACCACCCTGCAGTTCCTTCTGATCTCTCCATTTGTTCCGGTGAGTGGGCTGATGTTACTCATCTTCACCATCGCAGCCGCAAAATCACTCGAGAAAGCCATATAGCTATTGCTGTAAGTCCTGACGAGCCCGTCCTGGGATCCTCCATTGAACAGCTCTTGATCTGAATGGAGGAGCCCACGCTGTGCCACTAGGTTCTGGTAGTAGTTGTTGTCAAAATGGTTCGTGGTCTGGTCGAGGGGCGCAAGGTTGGTGTCGCCTCCAGAGGCAGGGCAGTCAGTCCTCCGGTTGGTAGCGAAGCTGGCGTCAATGTTGGTGTCGTTGTAGATGCGGCTCCGGAAGGTGCTGCACCGGGCCAGGCCAATGGCGTGGCCCCCTGAAAGGGCGGTCATGTCACTGGCGTTGAGGCCTTGGGCGGCGAAGGAGGAGATGAGGTCAGCAAGGCTGGAGGACGGTGATGGGAGTTGGCTGTTGGCACCGCTCAGGCTGGCGGTCCTCGCGTCTCGCCGCCCTAGAGGCACCGTCCATGATGGTCCTCCCAACTGTAATGACAAGGGATGACTATTAAGTAATTGGTAAACCAAAATCACGCACGAAACAGAGTTTGAGCAAAAGTAAGTCACGATCATGATATCTGAGACACTCACCAAGATGACCCCGTCTCGAGCAGCAAGGGCGAGGATGTCCGCACAAGAAACAGTGGCATTGCAGGCAGCTTCGACGCGGGACTTAATAGCGTCAATGACTTCAAATCCCCTCAGAGAATTTTGGTTTGGCTGAGCGGTCTTTTCTCCAGTGAAGATAGCCGTGTCATCCAGAAGAACCGACGCATCGCATCCCTGCATGAGAAAGCCGATATATATCATAATGTTGTTTGAAGAACCGGCAGCTAGAAATGAAAGCAAAGAATTTTGGTTACAAACATTTACGAAACAATCATGGAAGAACATGCGAAGTATCGAAGCACCCATCCTCGACTCTCTTCCAACAGCTTGCATCATCGCATTGCGAACGATGCCTTGAATGTTGGGGCATGTTCTTGCGTAGAAGTTCGGCGAAAGCTGTGCATTCGCCAGCCACGCGAGAAGGGATACGAAAATGATGGCGGCAATGAGGAAGTTGCGGTTGGAGGCCATTTGAGGGGAGAGAGAGAGATATGATTTGGACTTGTGATTGTGATTCTGATTGTGAAAGCGAGCTCTCTAACTTTGCTTTGAACTCGTGAGTTCAAGCCGTGGGTTTGTTCTGTATATATAGAGAAACAGAAAGAATGGTTTCGTGCATGTGGCTATGATAGAGATATTGATATTTCGCTGCTATACGCGTTTACATGACCTTTTTAGAGTATACTTTGAAGATTTTTCTTGTTCTTCAGCGAGAGACGGAGAGAATGTAAGGCTTTTTTACTACTAAAAGCGAGATTAGTCAATAGCCAATATGCTGCTGAGTCTGTCATGATGATAAATGGCAAAGGAACAAAATATGGTTCACCGCGTTTTCCGAAGCATGCATATAAAAAGCCATCTCTTTTTACCTAGATGTTTATTTTGAATATGTCGAAAAAGCAATACCCTTATCAGACACAAATCGAAACTTCTTTGTAACTTCGTAATCGTCTGCCAAAGATTCGAGGTTTTATGAACTAGCAGCTGTGAGGGTCTTAGACTCATCAAAGTGATGGATTCAAAAGAGAGTTATGTCTTGGCCGTGTTTGGTAACTTAGATAGGACAATAGCTTTGCACTTGGTACCGAATAAATCTCGGTAAAATGTCGGATAAGTCACCGTGACAACATGGTAGATAGCTTTTAGAGATATACTATGTGCACTAAGAACTTCATTAAAATTTAGAAAGTTCAATGTGAAAAATTTTTATGCAGTAAAAGGTCAGAGAGGGAAAAGAAGTCTAGAGGAAGAGAAAGGGAGGGCGGTGCTGGCTGCCGTGAACGGGAAGTATGGTTTCGTGCATGTGGCAATGATAGACATATTCATATTTCGCTGCTATACGTGTTTACATGACCTTTTTTAGAGTATACTTTGAAGATTGTTCTTGTTCTTCCCCGAGAGACGTAGAGAATGTAAGGCTTTTTTACTACTAAAGGCGAGAATAGTCAATAGGCAATATGCTGCTGAGTCTGTCATGATAATAAATGGCAAAGGAACAAAATATGGTTCACCGCGTTTTCCGAAGCATGCATATAAAAAGTCTTCTCTTTTTACCTAGATGTTTTTTTTGGGTAAGGTCTTTTTACCTAGACGTTTATTTTGAATATGTCAAAAAAGCCATACCGTTATGAGGCACAAATCGAAACTTCTTTGTAACTTCGTAATCTTCTGCCAAAGATTCGAGGTTTTATGAACTAGCAGCTGTGAGGGTCTTAGACTCATCAGAGTGATGAATTCAAAAGAAAGTTATGTCTTGGCCGTGTTTGGTAGCTTAGATAGGACAATATCTATCATTTACAGTATTTGGGGATGCACTTCGTACCGAATAAATCTAGGCAAAATGTCGGATAAGTCACCGTGACAGCATGGTAGTTAGCTTTTAGAGGTATACAATGTGCACTAAGAACTTAATTAAAATTTAGAAAGTTCAATATGAAAAGTTATCGCAGTAAAAGGTCAGAGAGAGAAAAGAAGGCTAGAGGAAGAGGAAGGGAGGGCGGTGCTGGCTGCCGTGAACGGAAAGTATGGTTTCGTGCGTGTGGCTATGATAGACATATTCATATTTCGCTGCTATTCGCGTTTACATGAACTTTTTAGAGTATACTTTGAAGATTGTTCTTGTTCTTCCCCGAGAAACGGAGAGAATGTAAGGCTTTTTCACTACTAAAGGCGAGATTAGTCAATAGGCAATATGTTGCTGAGTCTGTCATGATGATAAATGGCAAAGGAACAAAATATGGTTCACCGCGTTGTCCGAAGCATGCATATAAAAAGCCATCTCTTTTTACCTAGATGTTTATTTTGAATATGTCGAAAAGGAAATACCCTTATGAGGCACAAATCGAAACTTCATTATAACTTCGTAATCGTTTGCCAAAGATTCGAGGTTTTATGAACTGGCAGCTGTTAGGGTCTTAGACTCATCAAAGTGGTGGATTCAAAGAGAGTTACGTCTTGGCCGTGTTTGGTAGCTTAGATAGGACAAGAACGATCATTTACAGTATTTGGGGATGCACTTCGTACCGAGTAAATCTAGGTAAAATGTCGGATAAATCACCATGACAACATGGTAGATAGCTTTTAGAGATATACTATGTGCACTAAGAACTTAATTACAATTTAGAAAGTCCAATACGAAAAATTATTGCAGTAAAAGGTCAGAAAGGGATAAAAAGGCCACAGCTGCTTTCAATGACGTAGTAGCTTGAGTCTGATCTTGTTCTTGGAAATGAGTTTTGACCTTATTATTCGTTGAGCCATACTCACTCTATGGTATGGTGTGGGATAGTTGTTCGTAGTATGTGTCGACAATCTTTATATGATGATGGTGCATTGATTTGAGGCTTGAAGGTGATCTGACTGCCTTAAGTTGTCTGGGGGAGGACTGTGCTTTCAATTTGAATAAAAGACAAGTTCTGTCTCTCAAACCATACTCACTTTAGGGTCTCTTTGTACTAGCATACGAATATAGGGATTTGAGAACTATTCTGCTTTAAGACGAGAAGTGAGTGACGTTTTTCGATTGGATTCGATCACAACAGAAAACATGGGATAGAACTCGGAGTCACGGGCGACCCCCGATGGCTATCCTTGGGCGGAGGGTCCTGTCGGAGTGATGGCCAGCGGTGCCAATGACAAAGGCCAGCTCTCATAGCGACAACCTCCGATCAATTGCATCATTTAATGGATACTAAGAAGATATGTCACACATTAAATGTCCGAAACACTACTTGTCAGTATTTTTCTTTTTTTTGGTCAAATGTCAGTATTTAGAAAGAGTGCTTTTTTATCTCCCGTTCCTTCTCCGGGAAGTGCGACTTAACCTTAATTTAAAATAAAAACCTGAAATATGAAACCTGATCAGGACAGACATGACCCGATCCGATCCGATCCAACCCAACCCAATCGTGTGGCTATATACAGGTCGGGTCGGGTCGGGTGGGGTCAAGCAGGGCTGGGCTGGGCTAAGTACACATGTTCAGTATTTAGAGTCGGGTGGAGCACCGACCCGACCCATTGACACCCCTACTTGTAATCAAGGGAAAAAAACCCACCTGTTTAATATGGGAATTAACGTTATTCAAACAAAGCTAAGAGTTGAGTGCTGGTTGTGCGCTCCGGAAGCTAAAGTTTTTGGATAAATTGGCACTTACCTGACTCTCTTTTGACATGGTACCTCATAGGTAAAGAGTTCGAATCCTCTTACTTCGTTTTTTAAGCGATCTTTTTACTTGCGTTCTTTCCCTATGTTTTTGTCCCTTTGTGTTTGCCTGATGTTGTTACGTCCATCTCGTGTGTTTGTTTTGTGTGCAAGACACGATTGATTTACGCACAATAGAGAATGTTTTATGCAACACATTTTGGGCTTATTTCCTAATGACTCAAACTCTTAGGAAAATGGTGGTGTTCATTTTCGCTTTTCCATTATTTGTGTATCCCGATCTTTTTAACACATTTTAGGTCTCGAACATTCTTCCGTAACATATGTCGGGTTTGCACGCTTCAAACTTTCATCATTCGTGAGGCCCATGTTTACATAGGAGGTGGTAGACTAAAACCATGGATATAATTCCTATTTATATAGTTTAATTTTGTATATGGGTGATGTTCACAACTTGTAACACATCAACCAAATGAGTGATTGGAGGAAAATATAACCCCTCATTTATTAGCCCTGACAACATAGAATAATACGAAGCCATTATCGTCAGAGTTAACTCAAATCAATTTTCGATGCTCGAATTTCACCTATATTTTGTTTGACATTGCGAGTCTCAACCATTCTTTCACTCGCACATTCCTAATAGCTAGACAGATATCAAAAAGATCTTAGGCAGAAACATGACTCCTTAAATTAGCATAGAATATCAAGAAATCAAGGATGTCAGGTTAAAGAGAGATCACAAAACATGCTTATTGTTTTGTGTCTTTCTTGGTTAATAATGGTTTTACCAACTAGTGTCTCTGAATACTTATTGTGATGGCCCAAGCCAAGCGGCAGAGCGCGGGGAGGAGGGATGGTGGTGCGTCCGCGCCACTACCCCGGATGTGCGTAAGGAAGTGGGGTATCTCTCTTGTCCCACATCGCCTAGGGAAGAAGTTCGGGCTAGTTGATAAGACTTGGGTGGCTTATACTGTGTAACGCGTTTTACACAAACTTCCGCTGTACTAAGAACAAAGCCTTGAGGGAGGCCCGTAGCTGGGATGGCGATGCGTTCTCGCCAGTGCGAGAGGCCCGAAGAGGACAATATTAGGCTGGGATGAGAGATGGCAATGCGGCTACGCCTCTTCCCCAGACAACGCGTTTTAAAACCATGAGGAACAGTGGGTCCAAAGCGAACAATATTACACAGTGTAGACCCAGGGTATTACAAGTGGTATTAGAACCAACTCTCGACCGCATGTGGGCCCACAGCGAGGGCGCTGTGCCCATATGGGGTGGAGAGTGTGACAGCCCAAGCCAAGCAGCGGAGCGCGAGAAGGAGGGATGGCGGTACATCCGCACCACTACCCCGGACGTGCGCAAGGAAGTGGGGTACCTCTTTTGTCCCACATCGCCTAAGGAGGAAGTTCCGGGTTAGTTGATAAGGCTTGGGTGGCCTATACTGTGTAACGCATTTCATATAAACTTCAGCTATGCTGAGAACAAAGCCTTGAGGGAGGCCCGTAGCTAGGATGGTGATGCATTTGTGCCAGTGTGGGAGGCCCGAAGAGGACAATATTGGGCTAGGATGAGGGATGGCAATGCGGTTGCGCCTCTTCCCCAGACAACGCGTTTTAAAGCCGTGAGGCTTAGTGAGCCTAAAGCGGACAATATTACACAATGTAGACTCAGGTGTTACACTTATTAAGTATATTTAGGATGGAATGTGTCGATTTATACAGGGTTGATTACACATCCACGAGAAAATCGATGTATTGAAAAACCGCAAACTTTCTTCAAATGGCTTCGTAACAAGTGTCATGAGGGG